AAATTAAGAATAACTAAATCTAAATGTTAAGAATTTTCTACTAAACTAATACATGAATGAAAAAACATTATTACTTTCATTTTTTAAGGAAATTTTTTTATATGCATTTTTTCATTCTATGCTAATGTAAAAAGAAAATTTGGCATCAAAATTTAACTACTTCTAGGAAGTTATCAATACTAACTTATTTTTATAATTTGATCAAAATATAACCACTAACACTAATCAAATAAGTAGTAAATTCTTCAAATTCTCTGTCCTTGGTTTTTCGATAGCTTAGGCTTATTTGTTGCTTTGCAAATTTCATTCCCCATCTTCCCAAAGCCAAAATCAATTGAATTTAGCCTTTGGAAGTAAATTCAAAGTTATCCAGCTACAAAAATTCCCATTTCCTCCTTGATGTGCCAGTGCCACTTCCTAAATCCTTGATTATCATCTTCGAATTTACTTATTCCCTGAAAAATTATGGCAGTCAATAACTAATCTTCTTTTGCAAATAATCCTTCATCCAACTATTAATATGCATTTTGTTATCTAAAGAACAAACAAATGGTCCAATATGAAAATTTCGGTTTAGTATTAATAATAATTAGTAGAGTCTAATCAAGTAAAGCAAGATTAAAGAATCAATACATAAATAATGAAAGAAAGAGTAAAGAGAAGAATAAGGTAAAATCGACCTGTCATTCTTTGTCCAGACTTGGTTTATAGTCAATAATGTATAGCATAATAATTAGCAGAGTCTAATCAAGTAAAGCAAGATTAAAGAATCAATACATAAATAATGAAAGAAAGAGTAAAGAGAAGAATAAGGTACAATCGACCTGTCATTCTCTATCCAGACCTGGTTTATAGTTGAACCAGACCTTTAAACTCAATGGTTCGATTTTAAGTTTTAAGTGTTTGGATGAGGTGGTCGGAGTTTCGAGCTCTACCACCGTGAACTCCACCAAAAAACGATCCGATGGCCGTGCGGTTTATTTGAGGGGGTGAAATATTCACCCGATCTGGGGATCGAATCCCTAGTTGCTAATCACTAAATCAGACTAGCTTCCTAACCATTCCCTTTGTCAAAAAAAAAAAAAAAAAGACCTAGTTTATAGTTAATAATGTACAGCATAATAATTAGCAAAGTCTAATCAAGTAAAGCAAGATTAAAGAATCAATACATAGATAATGAAAGAAAGAGTAAAGAGAAGAATAAGGTAAAATTGACCTGTCATTCTCTGTCCAGACTTGGTTTATAGTCAATATTATACAGCATAAAGTTGATGGGTACTAAAAAGGAAAAAGTAAAAGCTAAACTCCTCGTGTTCAACAAAGCTTTGCATTCTAGTATTGCATTGACATTGAATTTCAATTCGGATGCACTCATTTCTTTCCAGTCTAGTCTCATTAGAATTCGGAGCTGTTGGTCCACAATCACATGCTGGAACAGAGCGTAATCAATTCATGACTTCGCATAATTGCACTATAGCAAGCTTTTTCCAAGGGTGACTCTTCAGAGTTGTTGGCCTACACTAATCGTCCTAGTAGGAACACTAAAATCGACGGATAAATAAGATGTAATTTTTTTTTAAAGAGGCCAATTAGTACATGCTAGTGGTATCTGAAAAATAGGAAAAGGGATGCCACAGAGTTGGAAAACGTAACTAGTGATTGTAGCAAGTAAGCCGAAGCTTGGGGATCATAAGTGAGGCATCCTGAAAAAAACAAAAAGAGGGTAAATACTAAATAGAGTAACAGAAGGATTAGGTAAAACTAATATGAAATTTCATGTGCAGATTTGACTTAGAATATCTATAGGGCATTTCACCAACCAGTTGATGGGCACCAAAATAAGACAATAGGCGGAAGCTGTTGTACCATTCGATCAAGTATTGATAATTAGTAAAATTCAATCAAGTAATGGCAAGATTAAAGAATCAACAGATAAATAATGAGTAGAGACTAGAGATAAATAACTCCATTAAGGGTAAAGTAAAATTAGAGCCATATCTGTAGGAACAGCTGATGGGAACCAAAGAGGAAAAGAAAGATCAATGCCACCCGTGATCAACAAAATAAATCATCCGGAGGTCTCACTTTTTTGGAGGTATTCGTTCCCAGTCACAGGGGAGAACAAAATAAAATCAATTCATGATCTTGCATAGAAGAAGAGTTAGTGGCCTGCATGAATGGTCCATAGTGGGGAACACTAAAATTGACACACTAATCTCTAAAAATACGTGCAATCTTGACAACACATGAAGTTAGATTTTTTTGGAGTGTCGTCAGAAGTTGGAGTAGTAGGTTGATATGGTAGAAAAATGAAGTGATAGAGATAGACTAACGACCATAGATTTTTTGAACTGAAGTTAAAAAGACTAATGACAATAGATTGGAGACGCAAATTCCGAAAATGTAAATAACACCATTCACTCTACTCCTCCATGAATTATAATTAGCTGGTTTGATTTTTCATTCCCCTTATCCCTTATTACCATCCTATTAATAATTAATTTATTAAGATTTATAGTACCTATAATTGATTTTAGTATGTTAATACTCCATCCAACATTTTGAGAATGCATCTTATACATTTTAACGAGCGAAAAGAAATCTAGATGATTTTTTTTTTTGTTGAATAAGGTATAATTTGCAAGTATAATTCAAGCATCTATCAAGTAGTCAGTAAATTAAAACTTCAAATAAATTAGTAACTTTATCAAATTAATCACAAATTACAAGACATTAGCATTTAGGATCAACTTCAACTCAATTAGTAATCTTAATATCTAAAATGTTTGAAGGGAGAATAATAGTATTCTCTAAGGTAGAAGTAAGCATATATCATGTGATTCATTCAATTTCTGGGCGGTAGTAATTGCCATTTGGCAACCCATAAGGAATTAATATTTTATTACCTCAAAAGAAATTGCATCTCGAAAACATGGTTAAATTCAATAAATAGTTTATTAATTATGTGATTTATTTCAGTTTAATCTGAAAATAATTTTTTCTTTCAAAATGATCTATAAACTACAATTTTGAATGGTCTATTTGACAAACATTCTATTATATTGCGTTAACTAGACTAACAGAATGTTTGTTTAGACAAGTTGGTGTAGACAAGTTGCTCCTTAAACTTTTGAAAAATGTTAAATATGGTATATATATTTTTGTTTTTTGCAACATTTTATTTTTGAAGTTTAAATTCTATGTCAAATGTAATAATTAATTAAGATAATAATTTTAATTTACATTGATCAATATTCTAATTTTAATTTACAATAATCAATATTACAATTTAAATTTTATTATTTTTTTAAAAACTAATACCATTATTAAATCACATATT